AAAGCTCTTTCCTATACACATATGAGTCTCCCTGGATTTGTTTCTCTAGTCTACCCAGACTAACACACCATGCATTGACATCCTTCAGGGATAGGACCCTCCTGATAGATCGCCTGTCCAAAGTACATGAGATGATCTTGGACATCCCTACTTCTAAGGAGCATTCTGGTTGTACTTCCTCCAAGATAGATTTGTTTATTCTTGTCGGCAGGCCTAGGACTCTGCCCTGCTCGTTGCCAACTCTGGGATTCAAACACATCTGCTCCGAGTCTTACTTATTCGTCAGCCAGCTTCCATGTGCCTCTGAGGGGCTGACAGGACCCTGGCTCGGTCAGGCGCACCTTGGTCCCCACTCACAGTGACATCTTTGCTTTTCAGTACTTTAAAGAGATCTTGGCTGAAAGATTCCCCTGATGCAATGGGTCATTTGATCTCTTGACTGCTGCTTCCGTAAGCATTGGTTATATATCCACATAGAAGAGACCCCTCGGCAGCTCCAGCCTCTTGGGTGATCTGGACACTGTCCACTGGTTCCACTGGGAAGCTTTGTGTCTCTTCTCATGGGACTGCGCTCCACCCTGAAGAGTACCAGTCTTTTTCACCAGCAAGTGCTGTCAGCCCTCCGCACTTTCCGATAGTCAGTGCTGATCGTCAACAGATCCTCTGCTTCTTCGCATGGTCCAGGGTGTTAGTCTGAGTAGACGTGAGAAACCAATTCATGGACACTCTCATGTGTATAGGAAAGAGCTTTATATACAAGGGCAGCTGACGATTGAGCAAACACCCCAGCCCAGTCCAGATCAAGTCCATAAGTCCGATATTGGCCCATAGGCCCAATACCAATCTATAAAGTCTTCTTCAGACTCACGAAACACATGCAATGACGCCGAATGCAGGAAGATCACAGGCCAGTGGGTGCAAAGTCTTGTGGATCCAGTGGTGGTAGAAGCATATCAGCGCTGGCGTGGGTCTCCACGTGGCTCCTCCAGTTCCCAGGGCATGGGGTCTATCAGCGTAGTACCATGTGTCTTGTCAGTAGAGCGTCTCTCAAGGAGTGAACAGAGAGAGAGTGTGTGTGTCCGGCCTCCAAGGAGGAAAATACAGGAGTTCCCAGAATCCTCAGGAGAAGACTATGTCCACACAGAGACCTCATTGGCGATTACCCGATTGACAAACTACACTCTACCCCTTCACTCTTAATTCTCTCAAGTCCCTAACTGATACCAGATTATGTAACTACCACATCCGGCCTCTCGAATTATTTGCTCGACATACAAGCGACATGTATATGGTGAAAGCATACAGCGCTGACACGCATCTTTCCCGATTTTAAGCCACACAGCATTCTCTTCTCTGTGAACGACCACTTCTCAGTCTACATACAGGTTCCACGTGAGCACAGGGTTATCCGTGGTTTGTTATGATTCCCACGATCGGATGCCTTGGTCGAATCAATAACACACAAACCAACAGTTTCCGGTCTTTCTGCTTTTAACCAAGATCAATCTGATGTCAGCCATGACATCCCTCGTGCAACACCTCTGCTGAATCCAGCTTGACTTTCGGTCAGCTCCCTCTCCATGGACTGCTGCTATTGTGTTTAAATGATCTTCCACAGAAGTATCTAAACTGGGAAAGGGTATAAAGACCAAAGAGAGGGAGAAAGTGGGGCTCGTTGCTTACTGGACGCGGAGCTTCAGTTAAGGGTAGAGACAGCTTTTAGAGAAGGATATGGTGAAGGCCAAACATGAAAAACCTAAGTCAATGTCCCTGAAACGTGCACGTGAGAAATGTTAAAACACAAATACCCATTTATAAACTATCAAGGGCTCATGCGGGAGGGGGGAGCGGGGAGGGAGGGGAAAAATGAGGACCTAATGTCGGGGGTTTAA